GTTTTGTAAAGACATATATATTCTTAAAGAAACGAAGGAGTGCTTTGACATTATCTACTGATAGGAAAGTGTAGGGCCTGTATAATAAGAAATTCTTCTAATGATTGGCTGTTTAACTGGATGCAGAATTTTATTACCCGTTATACCTAATGATTTTTTAGTTGTTGGGAGAGTCGTAAAAATAAAAGAATCTTACCATTTTGGCCACAGAAACTTGTGCTGAAATTCCCTGTATTAATCAGTTGGCAATTTTTTCCTGGTGTTCCAAAGCAGAAGATAGGTTGTGTAAGATACTTTTCCAGCGAGTCTAATGACTGGTTGAATTTTTAAGCATGCGCATGAAGCGTTACAGGTTGCGCAGACATGCGGTGCTTGTTCATCGTGGAAATCATTCACTTGGATGAGAATTTTGCCTTTAGAGACTTGTTTTTTCGCCATTCCACCTTTCTGATTTTCTGTGCCTTTTAATAACGGGTTAAATCAATTTCTTTTTTTGCCTGCCGTCCGTAATCAAAATATGGAAACATTTGCTCATGTCATATACATGCAGTTTTATCAACAAGTTATCTCTCACGGGGAGAATAACGCCTGTTTTGGCTCATACATGGTGGTGTTTACGAAGGAAGTGGCAATGGAAAAAATTGTGATTTGTTTGCTGTGCCAAGGCTCGACAAAGATTACTTAAGTGAGGGCGTTGAAAATATAATATTTGATACCGTCCAACATGATCGGCTCATTAACAAGTTTTACTTGTAACGGAAGTCTTTACTGTTATCATTGGATTGGGGATCTCCATTATACAAGTCTTTAGTACCTTTGCTAGTACCTATTACTACAAATGCTACTTTAATTTCCCAAACAGCTGTAATTGCTGACACAAGCGTTTTCAATGCAACCCACTAGTTTATCTGATTACTTTTTTTATAGCTCAGTGGTAGTAGTAGTAAAATTTTATTTATGCAAGGTATCAATTCATATTACATGCTCTTCCATCGAGCCGTGTTCTAAATATAAATTAATTAATTAACCAATAATATATCTAACTAAATTAATTATCTCTACAAACGGGTTTTAAAACGACTATAAAAACGATTTCATGACTTATAGCTACTTATCAATATTAATCAAATACATTGGAACGAAGAGTTGGCTGTAGCCTAACGCTCAAGGGCAGGCTGTTCCATAGAACAGAACCACGATATTGGAAACTTCGCTTACCTGCTTCAGTAGTCGGTCTAGAAACGAAAAGGTTGTATTTTGACCTTCTTAGATTATGCGAGTGAACACTGGATATAGATTTTAAAGGATTGTTTAAACGAGTCGGAGCAGGGTTATGGACGGAGAGCCTTAAAAAAAATGACTGCTAGTTGCTTAGAACGCCTCCGTTATGCAGCATGGCAGATTCTTTGCTATTCTTGTGAGAGAAGAGTCGTTTCCTTTTAATAATAATTATGTTATAACAACTACTCTCAGGAACTGTCAATGAAGTTTCAGCTACTCTAGGAGTTCCTCTCACGGTTTCTAAAGGATATCGCACGACGCTAAAAATTAAGGTCGATCATTCTTCTTCGAAATCTAAAACTGAGAATCAAATATACTCGTGTTTTTAAATCGAATAAGATAAAACACCTTACTATCTTGTCTATGTCAATATGTTGGTCTTGAGTTCCTGACGAGAAGTGATATTTGATGATGGTTGTGCCAGGTCCTACACAGTGCGAAAAATATATGTTTAGAAGTGTTAAGTCCGGTGTTTCTAACACTCACTGAGAAATCAGCAAACACACGCAGTACCAAACAAATCCTTCAAAGATACAGAATGTATAGTTAACCATATATATTCAGAACAGGAGTTAAAGGGAAGTCAAGAAACACTTTGGAGAGAGAGGTAACATTAGTATAACTTTTCTCCACCCTTTTCTCCTATAAACATGCAAATTGTTCCGAAGGGTGAAACATACAAAAAATTAACATCACAGACAATTTGAACGCTCTATGTGCCTCTCTCACAGTATTTCTCTTTTCAGTATTTCCCCGTGAATAACAGAAAGCATGTTTTCTACGAGTCACCCATTAAAGACAATTCAATTTTCAAGACTCCATTAACTTGTAATTTGTTTAGCAACAAAATGAAAAAATTAAGGCTATCTATCAAGACTGTTTTTCAGGTTAGCTTTTTCTGTTTCATTCATTATTATTTTCATCATTACTTCCTTATTTTTCTTTTTCGGTTTTCATATCAAGTAAGCTTTATGGGATGGTAAATCGAATTGAACTTTAGAGATTAATTTTCGAACTCTTCGAACTAATCATTGTACAATGCCTGAAAAAGTTTATTTTTCTCTAAGTAATGTATTAATTTTATCCTGTTTTTTTATCATTTAGGTTTCGCATGCTCTTATGATGATGTAGAACATAATGGAGAAACTTCGATGCCAGGAACACCGCAATAAAGATTGACACGAGACTCCACTATTATTTTTACAATGTTCCTGTTTTTCTCTAGGTTTCATATAAGGTAAGGGCCCATCCGCGCCTGCAGACAAAACTAACATTGTCCAGACAAAATCAAACGACAAATTTTGTCTCCTCTCTTGCATCCGCAATAAAAGTTTCGAAGCTGTCAAAACTGTCAAAACTGTCAAATTCGGTCAAAAGCCAAAAAGGACCTTGTGCCACCTCTACTGCTTCATTGTTGGACTGGTAAAGTGGCAACTGGATAATCGCTCTCCGTTAATTGTAACTTGCCCCGGCTGCATGCAAATTGTTCCCTTGGTTGTCCTAAGGTAGAACATTCCAGCGCCAAACGTGCTCATAAGAGGGCGGCTTTAATTTTCGTATGGATTTAAACCCCAGTTATCAGGATTCTTCTTAATTTGTCTAAATTTATAAAATCCGCGAGTTTCGCAACGAAAGACAACTACTTCAATCTCAGTTCAATTACCACACTAGAGCCGTGTTAGCGTTTACGACAAATTCCGGATCGACAAGTTTATCGCGGTTTTGTTTATTTAGGGCCTCTCCGCACTATAGCGACAAAGTTGTTTCTTAAGACAAATTTTCTGTCATCACCAACTGAACACTTTACAAATGCGAGTGGTTTGTCGTGACGTGACAAATTTTGGCCGAAGCGGACAAATTCAAACGCACCGCAGGAAAAATCGACTAAATAAAACATAATTATGTTTCGTTTAGACCAAGTTCTACAGTGCTTTGGCCCTTTTACACTTGCCACTTAGGTTTCGAATGTTTGCATGATGATGTGGGACAAAATGGATTTACCTTCGTAGCCAGGAACACTGCAAAAGTGATCAACATGAAACACATCCCTCCCACATCCTTCCAGAAATGCCACATTAGGTGGCAATAGGTAAGATGTGGCAAGATAGCCGATTTGTACAAAAGTAACTTGGCATTTACTGGGATAAGATTCTTGAGCCTACTTAATATTCCGATCATCCCATCAACTTTCTTACACACACTACGTATATGATCTCTAAAATTTAGGTTTTCATCTAGGTTTACACCCAGGATCTTGATGGATTGTGACTGTTGCACTTTTTCACCACCTATATCCAGATCAACGTTCCTTTCTCCTTTTGGATTTCCCAAAACCATAGCCTGATATTTATGGCAATTAACTTTTAAAAGATTGTCTTGATACCATTTGGTCATCCTCTCACCATCGTCCACCAGAATCTTCTCCACAATTTTTGTAGTTTCATTTGCTACAAAGACCTGATGGTCCAAACGTGTTTCCCTGTGGACATCCCCTCTTCACCATAACCCAGCCACTTGTTACAGAACTTATCCTTACTCTATTCTCTCTTCCCTGAAAATATGATCGTATGAGTTGTATGGCTTTATCAGAAAACTTGTAGGCCTGCAGCTTATTTATGAGCAACTGAGGGCTAAGAGAGTCAAAAGCCTTGCTCATATCCGACGACAATATACCGAAAATTTTCTTACTGTCTAGTTCCGCTCTCCATGTTTCGGTCATCCTTATCAGCGTAGTCTCCCAGCTATTCTTTGCACGATAGGCAGTGATAGCATCACTGAGTCTGTCATCCATAAACATACTGACTTGTTGGCCCAGCAATACTTTATAGACTTAATTCACACATGGCAGCACCGTAATAGGTCTATAGTTAATATCCCTTTGTTTATCTTCCTTCTTATATACCGGTATCCATTCTCTAGTTCTTCAGGCAGCGTGTGGCCAAGTATAGTGTGCGATCATTAGCCCAGTATAGTGTGCCATCATTGGCTAAGTATAGTGTGCCATTATTTGCCCAGCATAGGGAACTATTATTGTCCCAGTATAGTAGGCCATTATAGGCCAAATATAGTTTTACATTATTGTTTAAGTATAGTATGCTATTATTGGCCTAGTACATTGTGCCATCGATGGCTAACCATTGTGTGCCATTATTGGCCAAGTCGTTTGCTATCATTGGCCTAGTATTGGGTGCCATTATTGGCCAAACATAGCGTTTCATTATTGGCTAAGTATACTGTGCTATTAGTGGTCCAGTATGGTCAACCATTATTGGCCAAGTGTAGTGTGCCAACATTGTCCAAGTGTAATGGGCCATCATCACCCAAGTATAGTGTGCCATCATTGGCCAAGTATAGCCTAGTATTTGGACCTTAATACCTTAATGTTAGGTTTTTTTCTCTGATATTTAAGGACTTGTTAAGAAGCTAGCGATCAACTTGTAAATTTTCTCTAGGGAACTTTGGAGATCGCTCGAAAAGTTAACACATCGAGCAACTGTGTAGCAACTTTTCTGGTGCTCTCCAAACCTCCTGCGTACATCCAAAAATATTCCCGCCATCTATGAACCAATCATTAAATAATTATCCAAAAAGGGACCATCCAAAATCTTGGAAAAATTATCCCAAGATGATAATTTTTTGAGATCGCCAGCCCTGAGATTTCCCGCCAAAAGTCTTTAGCGCGAGATGCGACCATGACTTGGTTAGAGTCTGGGAACTACTGACGTTTTCAAATTGGAGGACGGCACCATTCGACCAAGTCGTTGAGTGTTTTTCTCTACCCGTCATGATCAGTGGATTTAGGCATCTGTTTTCCATCATATTTAATCTGGTAGCGGTTGTTTCTCCTTTCATTTTAACAGTCTGTTCAAAATGGTGAGTTTTGCTGATCTAACGGCCCAAGTGTGCTTCGTTTGTAGAATATATCGTAGCTTAGAGTACGAACACAACAACTCATGATTCGAAATGTCACGAATATTTTTGCCTTTTAACACTTGAGACAATATTTTCTTCCTACCGAACGCTTTCTTTGGTTAAATGCCCACTCAAAAAGTCATTTTAGAATTCGTATGCAATTATAAGCCGTACCGTTGTTGTAACTTGTGTTTGTTACACTTTACAGTCGACATTCAGGAAACGTCTTGTTCGAAGTTTGGTCAATCACGGTTTAGCTGTAGTGGGCTGTACTACTGTTTTAGTTACATATCATTTCTCAACAAGTGGCGACGAGAGATTTTACAGATCCATCGTCATGCCAGCTGTCATGAAGGTGCTTGATGCGGAACGCGCCCATACATTTGCTGTTTGGTTGGCTTCGAAAGGTCTTGTTCCTGCGGACAGAACTGGGGATCCAGAAATATTGGTAAATACAAAGGTTATTGAAGGAAAAGGAAGTTGGTTTGAGGCTGGCAACCTGACCTGGTACCCTCTCCTCCCCCTTCTCCCCCCCACCCACTCTTCCCTTTTCCCTTCCATATGTCATCTGTGTTTCCTAAGCAGTTGACCTTTACTCTTTTACACTCCTGGGGAGAGAAACTCTGGGAGAGCTAAGTATCTCATGATGGCATGAATCATCATAGGTAGAACTCTTAACCAGATCTCTTAACCTGGAATCCATTGCTCTTGGGCACTAGGCTTGTGTATCTCCCACTCTTTGGGGCATTTCACAAAAATAGCCTTGAGAGTTAGAGGAAAAGGCTTCATGAGAACCTTAAATGTAGTGAATATCTATAACCACTACACTGCATAACAATTATGTACTGTTGAAACAGGATGGGTATGTTTCACCCGGAGGAAGGTACTTCCACATAGTGGGCTGAAGGGAATGTTCTGCTGGATGGGGTCACATATAATGGAGTTGTGTTTTTGATAGTCATTAGAGTGGGGTCACATTTTCAGGAATTTTGGGGGTAAGGAAATTCTGATAACTGGTGAGTGATTTAAATATGGCCAAGTTAAAAGGCTTTGTAAGGAAGATGTATAAACAGAAAGTGACCAAGTTAGGATTGCAAAACATTTGGCCAAAAGTGACTATGATGGGCTCTATAATTACACAGATTTGACCATAATGGCTAGGGGTTCTGCAAGGCCGGCAGCACATATCCAGCAAAAATTTACCCAAGTACCCCATGGGTAGGGGGGGGTGGGTTTCCCATCCATTTCTAGAATCTGCATAGGGATTTTGTGATTTGGTGAATTGAAATTATATTATGTTTTATCACAATTTTTGGTGTGATGACTTGCATGGTTGACTTGTATTGTTTTCATTTTAATTCAGAGAACCACAGTATTTGGTGTTCCATTTCCTAACCCAATTGGATTGGCGGCAGGCTTTGACAAGCATGGTGAAGCAGTGGATGGATTGTTAAAAATTGGATTTGGCTTTGTGGAGATTGGAAGTGTAACCCCTTTGCCACAGGCTGGTAACACCAAGCCAAGAGTTTTCAGACTCACAGAAGATAAAGCTGTTATTAACAGGTCAGGCAAATTGGAGAAAACAAAATCCGACCATTTTAACCCCCTGAAGCCTGAAAAAAAAATGTTTGAAGAACCATATCATGCTTACAACAAAATTCAGTCTGTATCTTATATTTTGCTTATAAGTAATATTTTAGTCTGGTGAGCACTGTATCCCTCTTTTGATGCATTCATATTCAGGACAATTCCTTTATTTAAGAGATCAAAGCTGTGGTCTCAGTGACCCATGTCTCCATTATCTTCATTGAAGCTACACCTCTTTACAGAGAGCAATTTTCTTGTTCAGAAAAGGCCCAATGGTTTGGAATAAATGTATAAAAGACTTCAGTTGATACTTTTTGCTGAAAATTATAGGAAAAGGAAAAAATGGTGTATGGATATACAGGTCTCATTTTCTGACTTACCGTATTTTCTCGGTTATAAGGCGCACTCGGTTATAAGACGCACCCCAAACTTAGCAACTTAGTCAAGCCAAGTTCCCAAACTGAAAATTATTTGAAAATACTTGGTTATAAGAGGCACCAAAAGGTTGAGAGTAAAAAGGTGTGATGGACCTGAGAAAGTTTCACAGTTGCCCTAGCAGTGAAAGCAAATGGCAAAAAAACTCCCACCAAAAGTCATAGTCAAAGGTGTTCAACAGCTGAATATCAACATGCCACTGAGGATGCCAGTTTCAGTGCACAAAAAAGGCTAGATGGATGAAGAAGGCAGGTTTTATATCCACATTGTTTATTCAGAGAAGGAACTTTTAGAGCAAGCGACAAACACAATTCTAGGACTTTGAAATGAGGCTTTTTTGTCATGGATATCATGTTACCATGCATGTGCTGTTAAGAACGTAGATGCAAATTTCCATGTATTTGCTTTTATGTTTTTCTCTTTTTAACTGTAAGTTCTGCTAAAGTTGTGATCTTAAGATTTAATTGCACAAAATACTTGGCTATAAGACACACCCCAATTTCAGCACTAACTTTCCACCCAAAGACAGAATTTTCTTGAAAAAACCGTGCGCCTTACAACCAAGAAAATATGGTATATTCTCACACCTCAAAATTACAACTTTGTCTTATTCCTTTTAGATATGGTTTCAACAGCGATGGACACGAGACTGTCCGATCACGACTAAAGGAGCAGATCAAATTTAGGGGTCACCCACCTGGAATCCTTGGTATAAATCTCGGTAAAAATAAAGCTTCTGACAATGCTGTAGATGACTATGTCAAAGGAGTGCAGTGCTTCAGTGGCTTGGGAGATTACATGGTTATCAACGTTTCCTCTCCAAATACACCAGGCCTGAGATCTCTACAGGGCAGACAAGAATTAGAAAGACTTATTGACAAGGTAAGATGAGTAAGTTATAATAATCAGTCATGTTGTACAATAACCAAGCACAAGGGCAGTAGTGTAAGTTACTGACTAAGTTGTTTCTGATTGTATTTATTGTCCAAGCAAGAAGCACATGGTGCATAAATCTGAGCAAAAAAAAAGAAGACGAGATTCCAATACTTACTGTATGGACCAAGAAAAATAAGGTTAATAAGAAGAATGTTCTCCTGAAGCTATATATTAATCTCTGGCTGCTACATTTCCTACTGAAAACCCTGATCTAGGAGAGGTAGAAAAAAATCCATGTCATTCCATGTAAGAGAAACTGAGGAAAAGTACTAGCAGTTGATGGCCACTTGTCCTGTAAGACTTCATGTCTGCTGAACAGAATTCTGGGAAGTGGATGCCCACTAGTTGGCTGGGGGATACCTGCAACTGACTAGCATGCTGTCCAGAAAGAGTAACAATACTCCTGGTTGCTTGGTGCAAGATGACCAGCAACAAAGGTTATAGTATGATGTAACTTTAGAATTCAGAGTCTCTTGTTTTATGTTTTTAGGTACTTGAGGCTCGCAGTTCGTTGCCAATAGATGTGCAACATCCTATATTGGTGAAGATTGCTCCAGATCTGACAGAAGTTGACAAAGAAGACATTGCAGCTGTGGTTACAAGGAAACAGGTCTGTCTAGTTCTATATTGGCCAGGTAGCTTTGTCTTTTTAAATTAAGGAAGAACAGGGTTATTTGTATTATTTGTATTTACAAATATTTGAGAAATGGTTTGAGAAATATTTCAATTTGGTAGATATTTAAACTTTAATTAGAATGTAATCATTTCTAGGGTGGAGTTGATGGAATTATAGTGACAAATACAACTGTTGCTAGACCAGAAACATTACAGAGCAATAACAAGAAAGAAACTGGTGGACTGAGTGGAAAACCTTTGACTGAAATGTCCACAAAGACAGTGTCAGACATGTACAGACTTACAGAAGGTGAGGGTCTAAACTATCATTTTTAAGCCTTACTTTGTTGTTAGGTATGAAATATGACCCAGGAAACATGAAATTACAGGCCTGGGGTTTCAATAACAGGTAGTTACTTCTGAGGGTACAAAAGCCAAACATCTCAAAATTTATCATCTTCGTCATTTTGTTTACTTACACAATGCTTTCAGCATTGCTGATCCTAACAAAATGCAGGATGCTTGTCACTCATTAACCCAGTGTTAACCTGCAGGCTACCATAAGCTCAGTGGTAGAGCATTGACAAATGAAATTCTTGGTGCTTTTATTCCAGTTCCTGATGCTACTCTCTCAAGTTGTGAAAATTAAACAGGGTCAGTATGGGTCACCCAAAAAACTGAAGGTCCTGGAATTTTGCACTATCATTTTCCAGGCCGAGAAAGTCATTCAATTTTAGTGTTGGTTTAAAAAAGACAAAAAATGTTTGAAAACTATTTTTCTCTTTAGCTGGTAATTCCTTTGTCTGTGACAGTTTTAGAATTTTTTTGGTTCAAAAGAGTACTCTCTAAAGATTGTCAAATCACTTTGTACAGGTGTAGTAAGGCTTAGTTATTCTGGTCTTTCTCGTGTGTATCTTGATTTTCATAATTTTTTAAAGGAAAAATACCAATTATTGGTGTTGGAGGGATTTCTACAGGTCAAGATGCCTATGGCAAAATCAGAGCCGGAGCCTCATTGGTTCAGCTGTACACAGCCCTTGCTTATGAGGGACCACCCATTGTGAAGAAAATAAAGAGGGAACTAGCTGAACTCCTAAAGTTAGTGTGATTTCTTTTCTTTTTTTTTTAATTGATTTCTCTCATAAGAATATAAGCACTTAAACCATCATTGGTTTTTAGATGGGGCAGGGTATTAACCTGGAAGGTTGTGAAGTTCCATAATGTCATCTTCCAGGCCTGACAGGTGATGGAATTTGAGTCTGGGTCATGGAAAAGGAATTAAAATTGTATTTTAAGAGTGACAAAAAGAAGAATATCCTTTTGACATGATCATTTTCTCTTTATTTTGGGAGGCCAACTTCTCTATTGTAGGTCATAAAAAATGTCTGATGTCCTGACAATATAATGGAAAGCCATAGAATTATAAGATTCCGAAAGAGTACAAACTCTGCATCAACACTGTTGTACAGGTATTAGCATTGCTGAGCACAGTTAAGGGTGAATAAGTATTTCAAGAAACACACATGAAATGTAACTCATTTGAGCCTTATTTTAGAAACCACACTTCAACTAAGATATTTTGTTTTATGACTTTATCCCAGTAAAGATGGTTTCAAGTCAGTAGAAGAAGCTGTCGGTATTGATCACATCAAACGGAGTTGACTACTGGGATGCAAGAATAGAAGCTTTCACTTGTTCTGAGGAATATCAATGCTACTCACGATTTCTGTGATAATGGAAAGCACACAATATAGTTCCTTTTTTTAATTCATCCATCAGGTGGTATTTAATTCCATGATACAATTTGACCATGCACTTTTGAAGAAAAGGAGTATGACCTCTATCAGCATATAATTGTCATCTCAGCACATAGGATTCTAACAAATAAGCAACTTCCACACCTGACAGGTCAATCAACTTAACGGCCTGCTCCCAGTTGGCTTGTTAGCTCAATTGGTAGAGTGCTGCACTAGTATCGCAGAGGTCAGTGGTTCGAATCCCGTACAGGCCTGATTTTTTTCAGGTCTGATTTTCGCTATTGCATAAATAGCGCTCTCTATTGCGAGGATCGTGCATCATACGTAAATAAGCAACTATCATGCTGAACACAAACAGTAACCCTTCCAGTCATCTACAGTACATTCATGAACTTAATATACAATCATTTAGTTTAATAACACTGTGTGGTATAATGAGTAAAGAAGTTAAGTAAGATTTCTAAGGGTGATGAAATTGGCTTATTTGTGTTTGAATAAAACGTGTCAAGAGTGTTTTTCAACTGAAGATTTATTTCATCATAATTTCTGTAGTTTTTATTATTGTTGGACTGCAAGCAGATTGACTTCTCCTCTTTAACCCTAGCCCACATTGCTACATCCTGAACACTTCTTTTCATGCCTCCTAGAGGGGTTGAACTTTGTGTATGGGTGGCCCTACAAAGAGCACCACTTTTGCCTTTGTTTCATGAATCCACCATTCCTCTGTGGTCCATTTTCAATGGAAGATTGTGACAGATGATTGTGAGGACGTGAGAGATGCCTTTACCAGGCAACACAAAACATCATTTATCTATCCACGGTTATTCAAGAACTTTAGGTGTCAGTTCAAGAAATTCTAAAGGTTTCGATATCAACTTGTAATGAAATAAATTATTATAAGTAACATGTAGGCTGGAGCCCAAACAGGATGCCAGTATGGTAAATAAATGAAGTTGTGTAGCTGGCATGGCAAAAATAAAAATGAAATAAAAATTAGAGTATGCCGAGACATCTTCAGCACCTTTTTTGGGGTGCACAATCCCTTCTCGACGTCAAAGAAAAAAACTGAAGCTTGTTTTACCCTAAAGTCACGCATTTATGTCACGCAATACATTTCGCCCGGGATTCAAATCCGAGGGGGCCTGGATCACTAACAACATGGCGGCCATTTTGAATGGAAGAAATTGTTTTGCACGAGCTCGCCGGAAACGATTTTGGACTGTAGGAGTAAGGAACGTGGCAAACACAACACAGACTGCCTCCCAATATTGTATGAACTTGGTCAGGTAGTGCTGTTCAAAATTATCTTATTTCTGTGCGGTAAATAACGCAACTGCTACGTGCAATATACCAGAGTTAGATGACTTCCCCTCTGTTAACTCTGAAGATACCGGCACAAATTATAACTCGAATTGAATAGTACACTGCTGATAATTTAATCCTTTGCTTGATATTAACATAGGAATCTGGATTACGAGAACTACCTCTGTTTGTTACTGCTGCCTAAAATCTGTAGAACATCGGTGTTTGCTGTGAGAGCATTCAATGTAGAACTAGCCAGGGTGAGTGTAGCAATATTTATATTGTATATCCCCCTTTACAGCGGGGAAATTTTTTGATTCAGCGATTCCGTTGGGACAAACGCCCTCCTCTCCCACCCCCTGTGCAACCCCCCCCTAAAATAACAGTTGTATTATACCACTCACACACAAAAAAAAGCTTTGAAAGTTTAAGCTTCCATGTAATTAGCTCCACTACAGTTTCTTGCAAGATGGGTAAACTAGAGTTTATTAAAATCTCTCTCTCTTGCTATACTCTTCTTTCATACTTCCCACAAATTTGAGTTGCGTTGCCTGCATTTTGTGGCAGAAAACTTCAGGTTAATAATTAATAGGTCTTTGCTTTTCATAATTGTATTTATAATGTGTTGGGTTTATTAAAAATAAAAAAAAAATTGAAACAATTTGTTCTTTTCTCATCTGTTAAGGTCCAGGATTCTGTTAGTGATCCAGTTATTGGGAGAATGAGGCTCCAGTTCTGGAGAGATACACTTGAAGACACTTTCCTGGTGAAATTATGAATGATCAAGTATTTAGCAATACTGTAGTTAATAACGGATTTATCGTGGTGATGAACAAGAGGAAGACTGTCAAAAAGACACTGAAAGGATGCATGTGTGTAATATAACTTTAGGTGTCCATAATGTTCGCTTAATTAATAAGAGAGATTATATATGCAAGGCTAAAAAGATTAAGAAAAATTATTAAAATGTTAAAACCAAACGTTTTCGGCTGTTTGCCATCATCAGGGTTGATGATGGCCTCAAACTTTTCCCATCGGGAATCACATAAGATATATATGTATGTACAGATGGTCAACACTTTCAACCCTGATGATGGCAAACAGCCGAAAACATTTGGTTTTCACATTTTAATAATTTTTCTTAATCTTTTTAGCCTTGCATATATAATATCTATAACTTTATGTGTTGCATTTCAGGGAAATCCCCCACAGCAGCCTGTAGCATTGGAATTAGCTGAGGTCAGGCTTTCTTGACTTCCTCTTTTTGTAACATTTTGTGTAATTAATATCCTCATCAAAACTTTGATTATTTTAACTGACGTTTCATTGGTGAGTGAATGTTAATCATTCAACTTGGAATTGGATTTACACTAAGTTAAACATTCTTTAAACTGAAAATGTGTCCTATAAACCTCTTTCATAAATGACAAGCCTAAAAAGGAGAAATTTCTATTCTTTTGCATGACAAAAATTAGCCCTCTTGGTGTCATGATAGAATTCTCACTCAAAACTTAAGCCAGAAAGACTTCTTTGCATGCATATCACAGAATGTTGAATGAACCGACTATTTATGAAAGGAGATTAAATGGCATCTGGAACTATAGTCTTGTACTTTTCTCAACAGTTATCTTTAAGATGCTTCTTTTTGTCTCACTCAGGCTGTCACAAAATTCAAACTGACAAAGCGCTGGTTTTCACGCCTCATAGATGCACGAGTAAGCATGTTACATTCTCTCTTCCATCTGGAGATTTTTTTCATGAAAAAAATTTGTCTCCTACCTTTTGGAGGATATTGATTTCTATTAATTGGAATTTCAATGAAACAACATGAAAAATTATTTGAATTAAAGAGTAACAGTTGATCAGGTAGTGTGATCATCAGGGTTTAGGTGGTCCTCAAAAGAACTTTTAATCTGGAGTGAAGACATCACCTTGACTTTGGTGATGACTTCCAAGAAGCGTGTCAAAATTTCAGTCACTGTTACCAACATCTCTCCATTTCAGGACTTCCCTTAACCCAGATGATCAGAAAAAATATCATCTCTTATAGCTACCCTTAAAGATGGACACCTCCCTAATACACACTCAAGTTAGTCGTTGAAAAAATGTGTATTTTCTTCGTCTTCTTCCCAACTTATATCCAACTCTTTAAAAGTTTAAGATGGTTTCCTGGCTTTACCTTAGATGGTGTCTCATATATACAGAGTTAACTGTGCCACAATCCCTTTAAGCAATACAAAACAATTTCTGGGCTTTTGAATGTTTCTGTTGAGGAACTATTGGCTGATAGTTGCCCCGCAGAAATTTGATGTTCTTAAAACAAATATTTGTCTGAGAAGCAAAGCTTCGAAGGCAAATATACTAGTTTTGAGAAAGTCAAATTTCCAAGGAGCAACTATCATTTGATAGTTCCAAGACATGAACACTCTACTGTCTTTATTGTTCACCACTAAATTTTCTTCTGTGTACCAGTTGAAAAATAATCAAAACCCACTAAATGCAGATCAATCTTGAAAATATTTATTCATGCGTACACCCTGTCACAGATGTCAATAATTCATAACCGTATATTGGCTAAATAATACATTATACCTGTCAGAATTGAAAAGTCGTTTTTCCAATCTCCCTAACTTCGCAGCTGTCAAACCATTCAAAATTTTTCATGGATGAGTACTATCCATCCAGGTATTTTCCCTGGATGGGCACTATGGGCTAATAGTGTCTCTCCACAAATGAACACTATCACATCACATGATCGATTTAAACCAATGAGAATTGGAGAAAATTTAGTGATGAACTACAAAATGTGATAAAGCCATGCAAGATGTTGGGAGAACACAAGGAAAACTTATGAGTCATGAGCCAAAGGCTGAGTGTTCTCCCAAAATCCCAAGTGGCTTTATCATGTTATTGAGTCCAGAAAAAGTGCCTTCTATAGCTTTTATGACATGACTAGGGACATGTGGGTTCTATAACCTGATAAAGCATCCACATGAAAACTGAACTGACCAATCAGTCAATATATACCCTGTTCATTATGTACTTTAAAAACTCGATAATTTTTCTGTAATCACACTTTGTTTGATAGGAGAGGAGCCTTGACAACAGACCTCATGAGACAGCAAATGCTTTGGAGGAACACAGTGAAAACTCAGTGTCACCAGTGTTATATCTTGTCTTAGAGTGTCTTGGTAACTGTCTTTTTTCTCAGCACTCTTGACAAATCCACTGTGGGGTATATTTTTTGGTATGCATACAAAATCATACTGTGGGAAAATTCATTACTTGACAAGGGAATTCCGCATTTAATTGCGAGCAAAAACCGATCTCACACGAATGGCGAAGCAATGAGAAAACTGTGCAGTTTGGAAGTTAAAGCAAGAATTTGAATTACAAGCTGCTACAATGCAGCAGTGGTTGAATTTCACTTTGATTTATATTATTTGCTCACAGGAATAAGAGATGTACAAGCTGACCATGCTGCAAGCCATCTTGGCAAAGCTATAGGTGTGGCAACAGCACTGAGGTCCACACCTTTCCATGGCAGCAAGGGAAAAGTTTACCTACCAAATGACATACTGATAAAGGTGACAAAGTAGCCTGAAGTTTCACATTGCAAAAATCAAAATTTGGCTGTTTCTGTGGGGGAATGGAACTTGAGAAATTACTGAGGGAGTAAACAAGATATTTATGTCATGAACCAGTATCTCCTGTTAAAGACCTGGCTCCGGTTGTTCAAAGGGCAGATAATGCTATCCAACAGATAAATCACTATCCAGCAGATAAGTGTTACCAAAACATAATAATTTGGATATATCAACAAAGTTGAAATGGTAAATTAGCCACCGTAATGATTACAAAAGCTGACGTTTCGAGCGTTAGCCCTTCGTCGGAGC